GCCATTTCTCTCTTCCCCTTTCCAGAAGGGTAAATCAAGAGTTGCTCATATGCACTACCTCCAATTATTCTCCTCCCTTTCTCTCTCAAAACCATTCCAGTCAGGCTCTTCCCCAAATACCGCTTCAAAACTGCTCTTGTCCAAGTAACTACTAACCATTCTCCCACTACTCTCATTTAAATCCAATAGTAAACTTCATTCATGTTTCTGATCATACAGTGGTATTGAGATAGACAATCACTCTCTCCTAGAAACATGTGAATTAACAGTATAACTAGTACTCAAACAGTACTTTATACTTTGTGTTTCTGTGTGGGTGCAAACTATTGAATTCTTTACTTACTATATACTAAATTGATCTTCTGTATATAAAGATAATTGAGGCCAGCACCGCAGCTCAATAGGTTAATCCTCCACCTTGCGGCGCCGGCACACCACGTTCTAGTCCCTTTCGGGGCGCCGGATTCTGTCCTGGTTGCCCCTCTTCCAGGCCAGCTCTCTGCTGTGGCCCGGGAGTGCAGTGGAGGATGGCCCAAGTGCTTGGGCCCTGCACCCCATGGGAGACCAGGAGAAGTACCTGGCTCCTGCCAACAGATCAGCACGGTACGCCAGCCGCAGCACGCCAGCCGCGGCCATTGGAGGGTGAACCAACGGCAAAGGAAGACCTTTCTCTCTCTCTCTCTCTCACTGTCCACTCTGCCTGTCAAAAAAAAAAAATTGAAAATGAATTTTGATGAAGAATGGGATGGGAGAGGGAGTGGGAGATGGAATGGTTGTGGGTGGGAGGGTGGTTATTGGTGGGGGAAAGCCACTATAATTCAAAAGTTATACTTTGATAACTTATATTAAATAAAAGTTTAAAAAATAAAAATTAAATATCATGAAAAAAAATTTTTCACTTGGATTCCAGCACCCCACACACCTTTAGTTCCCTTTCTACTTCATTGCCCAATCACTCTGCCTGCTTATCCTAACAACATTCATTCCTGTGCTCAGTAAGTCCCCCATCCTTAAATACTGTTCCTTGACAGTATTTAACTAACTAATATTTCTAGTCCAGTCCTTTCCTTTGCACTCAAATATCCAAACTCAGACACTGGAAACTTGCCCTGTCCAGAACTCAGCTGCTGATATCTATCCTTCTTGTTTTAAAAACAAAGCAAAACAATTCCCCACCAGAGCATCTTCATTCTCTCTGTAAATGACAACAGTCATTCTGATTGCTCAAACCTAAAATCTTGGGATCTTTCTAGATCTTTCTTTATGCCACCTTCAGTTCTTCAACAAATCTTGTTGCCTAGGCCCATAAAATATATCCAAAATCTAGACTCTTACCATCTCCATGGCTATTACTCTGATCCATTATTTCTGATCTATTTTTTAAAACTTTCATTACTTGTTTTCATTATATTTGAAATGCAGAGACAAGGACAGAGATCTTTAATCCAATGCCCAAATGCCCACAACAGCCAGGCCTGGGTCAACTCAAAGCCAAGAGCTCAGAACTCCAAGTGGGTCTCCTACGTGGGTGGCAGGGACTTAAGTACTTCAGCCATCACTCTGCTTCCCAGGGTGGGCATTAGCAGAAGCTGGAATTGGGAATGGAGCTAGAGACTTGAACCTAGACACTCCAGTATAGAAATCAGCCATCCTAAGTGGCATCATAACTACTATAATCCAATGCCCATCCCTTTCCTAATTATTCAAAAAGCCCCTAACTTGTCACCCTGTTTTATATCTATAACAAAGAGGCCTGAGTGATATTTGTAAATGGAAGTCAGATCTTGTCACATCTGTGCTTAAAATTCTACACGGCTCCTCAGTTTTGCTAAGAAGAAATGCCAAAATTCTGACAATGCTCTTATACATTGAATTCTATGCTGCCTTTCCATCCCCCACATCTCCTGGCTGACCTCATCTACATCTCTCCTAGCCATCTGGTGAAACAACCAGGTATTTACATGCCTGCCACAGGACCTTTGCTCTGGTTATACCTTTGTTATGCAATGCACTTTCATCCAATGTCTCCATGATCAGTCCCTTGCATCCTTCAGGTCTTTGCTCAAATACTAGAAGTTCTAATTGACTACTAACTTTAAAAGTGTTCAAACCTGGGGCCAGCACTGCGGCACAGCAGGGTTAAACCATTGCTTGCAACACTAGCATCCTGTATGGATGCCAGTTCATGTCCCAGATGCTCCACTTCTGATCTCACTCCCTGCTAATACACCTGGGAAAGCAACGTAAGACAGCCCAAGTAGCTGGGTCCCCGCACTCATAGGAGACCTTGATGAAGCTCCTGTCTCCTGGCTTTGGCTTCATCCAGCCCTGGCAGTTGCACCCATTTGGAAAGTCAACCAGCAGGTAGAAGATTCTGTCTCTACCTCTCTCTGTAACTCAAATAAATAAGTCTTTAAAAAGTCACTTCCTTTTTACTCTTCCACTTACTTTTTTAGCCATTGTATTTATCACCTTCTAATATTTTATGTGTATAATTTATTTCTCTTGGTCCTCAAAAATGTATCCATAAAAGTAGGGTTTTTTTAAATGCAATTTAGTTACTGCTAGAAGATGGTTGGTGTTAGAAACATATTTAACACTTTTGACACAGACTGCCACTTTGCTTCTCAGGAAGTAGAGCTATTTATATAATTAAATAAGGTATAGAAAGATGGTTCATGCAGAGGCTATAGTTTTGGCAAAGCCACTAGCATGCAAAAAAAAAAAAAAAAAACACAAGTAGTACACCTGTTGCCAGATGTTCCCAAGGCATCAGGGATGAAGATACAGGATCTACTTTAAAGTAAGAGTCCATCAGAAAAGGCAACAGTTTAACTGAAAGCACAGAATCAGTTTTCTCCACTACAAGAAATAAAAGGATAAAATGAAAGCAGTGTTCCACACTAGGATACTGAGTGAGACACTGGGAAACTCAGGGAAAACTTAAACCACAAACGAGAAGTTTGGGAAAGTGTCACATTCTATCCAGGAGGGCAGCTGTGTTTGAAAGAGTAATGAAAACCATGTATCGACAAGGTACAGGGCTGGGGAACCTTGCCTCTGCCAAGAGCCATTTGGGTATTAATGATATCATTCATGGGCCATATAAAATTATTAACTTAACAATTAGCCTTCTGTAGATTTACTGAACTTCAAGTCCTACTTGCAGGTGCCTTGGTAGGCTAAGATAAAATTATTTTATGGGTTGGTGTTCGCTACTCCTGTAATCAACCAACCCCCAAAACCTAAGCAGAGACCACCAGGGGCCAGTATTTGAAAATCCTAATTAACAAAAGGCAGCATGCTGGGTGGGAGGGAAGTGCAGGGTCCCAGTTAAGAAATATGACTTCCACATTGGGGCTGGCGCTGTGGCACAGTAGGTTAATCATCCGTCTGCAGCTCCGGCATCCCATGTGGGTACCAGTTCTAGTCCTGGCTGCTCCTCTTCTCATCCAGCTCTCTGCTATGGCCTGGGAAAGCAGTAGAAGATGGCCCAAGTCCTTGGGCCCCTGCACCCGCGTGGGAGACCCAGAAGAAGCTCCTGGCTCCTGGCTTCAGATAAGCACAGCTCCAGCCATTGTGGCCATTTGGGGAGTGAACCAGTGGATGGGAGACCTTTCTTTCTGTCTCTCCCTCTCACTGTCTGTAACTCTACCTCTCAAATAAATAAAATAAAAAATCTTTAAAAAAAAAAAAAAAGAAATATAACTTCCACATCATGACCATCACTTGGACGCTTTGGTTAAGGATATGGCTTTGACGTTCTAAGTAAATCTATGACACTTACTAAACTAACAGGAATAATTTACTACCATATTTATATCTGTTACAGTTTGAACACTTTGTCTCTAAAGTCAGGAGCTACCAAAGTGATAGTAAGAGGTGAGGCAGCCCTCGTCTCGACTGTTGAGGACCATTTTTTTTTTTCCCCACATTATTCGTTGAACTCTTTACTTAGTGTAGGGTTAATCTTATGTGTATAAAGTTAACTGAAAATAGATCTTTCTTAAAAATAATAGGAATAGGAATAGGAATAGGAATAGAAGGGAGAAGAGGAAGGGTGGGAATGCAGGCAGGAGGGAAGGTAGAGTGGGAAGAATCACTATGTTCCTAAATTTGTATATATGAAACGCATTAAGTTTGTATACCTTAAATAAAAGGTTTCTAGGTTCAAAAAAAAAAGCAAGTTGCAGTATATGTATATTAAACATAAATATATATTTATAACTCTGGAAAAAAAATAAAGATGATGAAGCCATGAGGGCTCCTTCCTCGTTAACAGGTTTAATGCTTACAAGAGGTGTCACTCAGCATTTGGCTAGCTTGCCCTATGCCTTCTGCCAGAGAGGAGGCAGCAGGGTGGCCCTCCCTGGACACCAAATGCCACCACCCCTATTTTGTACTTCCCGGCCTCCAGAACTATGAGAAATAAATGTCTATCCTTTATATAAATTACCCAGTCTCAGGTATCTTGTTATTGGCGCACAAAATGGACAAGATAATGTCTTAAAAGCAAAATAATACCCATGCTCCATTAAATACCCCAAAGTTAACTCATGAATGTTCAAATTCAATAAGCTTCATATGAATAATTTCATAAAGTCCACAGGATAATAAGAAACCTTTTTAGATACTCACAATTCAATTTAAAAAAAAAATTGAAATCAGCAAATATTCCATCTAAACCATGTAAGCTATTGTTTGTCTGGCTTCCGTACAACTTTAGATGAAAGATGCCTAATGATAAATAATTCAATAAAATATCATTAACAAATCCTTGCTTTTCTACCAAATACCCCTTATCTCTGTACTGCAGAATCCAGAAACAGGTAAAGAAAATCCAGCTCAGGTAGTTTTTCTTGACCAGATATGTTTCTGGAGAGGGGTACCAGAAAGGAAGGGCGAGAGTCTTAATCACACGTAAATATAAGCGGCTCTTTATTTGTTGCTCAGTACTTATGCTGCTGCACAAAGCTCTCCCATTGCTGATATCTGATGCCAACCCCTGTAGGGATAGAGGCCACAAAAACAAACCTAGAGGCTCTGACTTTAAACGCAGTCAGTCCTGAGAGGGCTCTCTGGTTGGTTTCTTTTCCCTGTTGCATTCATCAGAAGGCGAATTTACCAACAACCTTCGGCCGAACACAACCACCTGGATCCGGGCCAAGGGCAAGCAGCCGCGTGGAAACCTGGGCAGCAAGGTGGAAGGGTGGCTGGGCACCCGTGGGTTGCGAACATGCGGGGACTGCTGGGCAGCAGCTGGAGGAAGTTCGGTCATGCTGGCAGGGGGACAGACGAGTGGCTAACAAGCGAACCAAGCCTGCCTCTTCAGGAGACCCAGCTACAGGTCTGTACCCCTGGCTTCAGCCTTTTCTTCCCCGAAGTGTCCTCGTCAGTTTTCAAACCTACAATGCCTATCTTTTTAGGATGTCCAGACTTAGTGACAACATCTTGCTTTTTGAATACAACAAAAATATGAATGCATTGATTGGCATGATCTAAACAGAGTAATTTAAAGTTGTATTTTTACAATGAAACATTTAAGTTAAAAAAAAAAAAAAAACTACTTGCCATAAACATAGCCTAAAAAGACTTGATCTATCAAACATTAGGGAACACATGAAGCTAAGAGTCAATATTTGGTGCCTTGATGTCACAGCTTTGTCCTTTGCTCAATAAGCAATGTCTTTATATACAAAATTAAGAGTCCCTTCAATTCTTGGCTGCGTAAGGAACACTGTGTCCAAGGAGTTGGCAGAAAAAAGGACAGGAGGGGATTAAGGAGGTTTTGTCTCTAAAGAGGGCAACAAGGGCTTTGCTTTGTCTGACAAGTCACCTAAGGAGCCTTGATCAGTGTTTGCAGAAACCTAAAAACAAAGAATTTTATGAGTGACACTGCTGACTGCACAAGAAAAGGGGCAACAAATCTCTTTTCTCCTTTTCTGGAAAATCAGCTGGTGAGACTGGCATTTAAGTTATCCAGACTCAACTTTTATATATATGTGTATACTGTGTGTGTGTGTGTGTATGCATACTGTTCATATAGAGAAATTTATTCTTCAGCAGTTATTTTTAACTGGATGTTTAAAATATTCCCTGAAAAGTCCTTGAGTGAATGTACACATCAAAAAATATCAAGTTAAGAGACTTTGAGACTAGTGAAGAAACTAGAACATTTGACTAAAAGATATCCTTTCTCTACTAAAAAATTAATAAGTTTCACAAATTACAATAATTAAATAAGCAAATTAAGGGTAACAAAATAAACCTGCTTTATACTTCTGTGCATCTCTTAACTGAGAAAAAGGCAACTATCCTAACCTGCTGTGTTAGAGAAACCTCCTAGAGCAACTTGCTATTTGGATAAATTTAACTCAAAGAATGGAAGTCCTGATTTCAGCAGGGATTGTGGGATTTATTTTTTCTCCAGTTTTTGCAACCAATATTGACACCACCACAAGCGGCATGACTGTAAACAATACTACCTATTATATCTTTCAAGTCAAAATTAAGTAACTTTACATTTCATGTTCATGGAACTTACAGGGCACGAAAACTTAAAGGGTATAACAAAGAATTTCAAATCTCATGGCCACAACTGATCAGAAACCATGATCGTCCATATTGTAAATAGAGAAAGAAGAAAAATGGGTTGTGAATAATGGTTCTTATTTACAGAGATGAAGGAGTGATTGGTTTAAGTACTAAAAGAGAACAGTTTTAATATTTGTAATGATTCATGTTGAGGGACAAAACAAACTATAATTAATTCCCTTTTGACTCCAACTTGATTTCTTAATATTTATAGTAATTTAATGGCTCATCTACTCATACGCTTTTATAATCAGAGCTGCATATTGTATCACAAGAGATTTTAAGTTAAATTGTGATACTGAAATAGAAAGAAAAACAGAATCTGTAATTCAGAAATATAACTCAATAATCACACACATAAAAATGTTACTAAAATATCTTTTCAGAAAGCATATCAAAATATGAATTTAGGAATGACTGATTTTACCTTCACTATATTTTCTAGCCTTGCCTAATTTCTAGATACCTCCTACCTGCTTTATTGTTAAATTTGACCATTTGCGTCCCTGAGATATAAATATATACATACTTAATTCACCACATGCTTTGCATACGTTATTTTAGTTATTTCTCATGATAACTCCTGAGGAGAAAATCCAGGCCCAGGGTCACATAGGTGTCTGAAAGTTGTATCAGAATTCAAACCCAGAGCTGTCAGAACCCAAAGATAATGGTTAATCTAAAATACCTTAACTCATATCTAACCAAGAAAAAATACTGGGCAATATCAATATTAAAGACACCATTTAATTTTGCATCAAAACACATGCATCATTGTAAAGTCTGTGGGGGCTAAAGTAAAAAAATCACAAAAGCAACACAAGTCAAGTCAGTCTCCTAAGGACCTGGGACCAGCAACGTATTTTTCCCAGCAAAATCAGAGGAATAACCCCAGCCCCAGAGTTTAATTTTTATGTTTCATTTTAAATAAGCATGTAGAGATTAATATTTTGCTTGCTTATTCCAAACATTAAGGGTTTAGGATGTTTGCTTTCCTTCCATTACAATGGATACAGCACTGAGACTGTCTCTTGTATGTTTTACATTAGAGAAATGTTTTCATACTTCATTATTTCTTAGTAGCTGTAGTAAAAGCAATGTCGATGCAATTAGAGTACTTTCTTCCTGTTGCTTTCCGATTTTACCCCTGAGCATGCTGTCAAGCCTATCATATTACTCATGCTTAGTACATCAGGAACCATCATAATTTTTGTGAGCTAGAACTACAAAATCAATACCTTTTATGTCACCTAAGTATTGATCCGTAATTTTTTCTTTAAAATTTCCCCCCAAAATGCCCATATTTATCCTACAAATATTGCAAAAGCAAATTTAAGGCATTTGAAAAATCTCACTCTTTTTTTTTTTTATTTTTTTTTTATCTTTTATTTAATGAATATAAATTTCCAAAGTACGTCTCATGGGTTACAATGGCTTTCCCCCCCATACCGTCACTCCCACCCACCACCCTCCCCTTTCCCACTCCCTCTCCCCTTCCATTCACATCAAGATTCATTTTCGATTATCTTAGTATACAGAAGATCAGCTTAGTATACCTTAAGTAAGGATTTCAACAGTTTGTTCCCACACAGAAACATAAAGTGAAAAATAATAGATGATTTTTTTTTAAATTATGATGAAATCAGATCAGACCTATTGTCATGTTTAATCCCAGTGAGAGTCAAGTTGGGAATTGATAGTTTCTTTTCTTTTTTTTTTTTTTTAACAGAAGATCAGTTTAGTGTACATTAAGTAAAGAAAAATCTCACTCTTTAGAAGTGCCAGCTATCAAACCAGGAGTCACTGATTATTGATACGTGATATGAACTCACTATGAGATTTTGTTCCAGAAGTAAAGAACATGTAGAAGTTAGATTTGGGTCTAATTTTAAATAAGTACATAACTAGTAAAAATTCCCCCGGAGCATTGTGGGACAGCAGGTTAAGCCACCTGCAACACTGGCATCCCATATGGGTACCAGTCCAGGTCCGTTTCTGTACTTCTGATTCAGCCCCCTGCTAATATGCCTGAGAAAGCAGGGAAGGATGGCCCAGGGACTTGGATCCCTGCACCCATGTGGGAGCCCAAGATGCAGTTCCAGGCTCCTGGCTCCCGCCTAGCTCAAAGACGCCCAGAGGGCCCCCTACGACCTTAGCAACACCTAACTCCCGCCCACCTCACCTGCAGGGTGCCCAGAGGGCGAGCTCCACGAGGGAAGACGCAGAGCCCTTCCTGTGCACCCTCCTCCCGGCCACTGTCCTGCTCTTCCTGGCCTTCGTGCTGCTCTTCCTGTACCGGCGCTGCAAGCGCGCGCCGCCCACGGGCCCGGGCTCCAGCCCCGACGTGCCATTGCACCCCACCGCCGCCGCCCAGGCGGCCGACTTCCTGCCCGGCCGGCCCTGGAGCACCGAGCAGGACTTCGCCTACTCCCCGCTGCCCTGGGACGCCCCCCTGCCCTCGCTCGGCTTCCCGCCCTCCTACGAGGAGGCCACCAGGAGCGCCCCTGGGGAGGAGGCCCCGGGGCCAGCCCCTCGCCGGGAGGACCGTCCACTCAGACCAGAGCTGCGGAAATAAGCCGCGGGAGAAAAGCAGTTTCCTCCTGCGGGACACTCCACGCACCTTGAGGCCCCCAGGTCCTGCTGGAGAGGACCCGGACTCCGCTGAGAGATGTGCATTTAGGGGGAACGTAAAACCTTGGCGTCCCCAGGGAGCCTGGGTGCCGCCTCTGAAAGATGAGGAAAGAGAACCGTGCCGGACCAGTGCTGGTGCTGGCTGTGACCTCCCCGGAAGCAGTTGTGGGGGGAGCGGGATTGTCTCACGGTTTCACTTCCGGGTCAATGTTTCCAGGCTGCATAGAGAGTTCTAGAAAGAGCAAAGGCCATCCCCAGAGCGGCAGTGGGCGAGCGTGCGTTGTCAGTGATGGTGATGAGGTTTCCCCGCGAGCTGTGGAAGCACAGAGCTTTGCCTATGTGTGAGTTAAAAAAGTAAATAAAGCTCTCCGAAGTCACGGTTGTGTGGCGTTGCTGTTGCTGGGCGTCCAGCGTGCTACCTACAGTGGGAGAGGGACTTGGCCCAGTTCCTCAGGAATGCGTCTCACTGGGACAGCGCTGGGGCAGGAGAGAGAGTTAGGGCCAGGACCCAGTGTCCTGTGTCGTCATCTCGCAGTATTTTACTATATAGCACTTCGATTGTCATGCTGCAACCCTAGGCCCGCGTTTGCAGGCTTCACCAAGCGGGAGTGACAGCGGAGAAACCAGGTCTACACTGGAAGGTAGAGGCCGAAGTACTGGCTCCAATGCTAAGGAGAAGCCGATTAGCTCTCAGCGGGGCCCTGGGGAGCTTGCTTTGTCAACAGCAGGGCTGGAGCTGAGAGAGGCGCAGTGGCTTGTCCCATGTTCCACGCTGGGTACCAAGCAGAGTGGAGGCCGGCAGCCTGGCCGCTCTGTCCTAGGCAGAAGCACACTCCGCTCTGCCCGGCGTGTGCTCCCTCGAAAATTGCCACAGTGCAGTTTCGGCCCGTGCTCCCCAGGCGGACCAGGGCGCTCAGTGGGGCAAGGCAGTATAAGGGGAGGAGGGGGTCTTTGAAATTAGGGAAAAAACTATGCGTGGATTTCCGTTTTTTCTGTACTAACATAACCTGCCTTTAAACTCCATTTTGCCACAGACTTTTTGAATCTCTCTCACACAGCTGAGTTGGGAATTGATACAAATCTCTCTGGTTTTCAGATAGAGAGGGAATGGATATTATCACTTAGAAGGTGTATCAAAATACTCATGGAGGAAACATGGGGAGCAGAGGGTGACATGTATATGTCAGTGCCATAATTTTTAATTGGAAAACATTTAAACTAGACAATCCTTTGGCAGTTCCAAATGAACAAAACATAGTGGCTTTTAACTTTCGACAGGAACATTTTTATGCTAGATATGTCATGCTGTAAACTTTTAGGAAAACTAAGCAAGCAAAAATAGGGTGCATTTCTTTTAAGTGAAATCTGATAGAAATAATGGTTGTTTTTGCAAACTAAAGCAAAATATAGCCAATTTAGGTGAAAATCAATATGCTTTCTTTTAGTGAAATTGGACTGAACGATTCTCTAATGTTCTTTAAGGGACATGAACAGATGGAAATCAGAAGCTGAGCACACTGCCTTTAGTTTTGTTTTTGTTCTAAGAATCTAGTTCTGCGGGAGACTCGACTCTCTTCCGATTGCTATGGCTTCTTCCTTGCCAACAGAACTTGAGAACATCCATGTAAGGCGGCCTCGGCCCTGCTAAGCACCAGAGGTGTGTCAGACTGACTAATCCTGATGGTCCTATCAGAGTCTCTCAGCAGAGACTGATCTGGCTTTTGGGATCTAAGGGGAGACCTACAAGAAAAATGGCATCTATTCTAGATAGTTTTCCTAACTATTAAAAATAAGCACATTCAAGGAAACACCCTGACTCTTTGCTGGATATTATGTATCTGCATGTGATGCCTGGGTCTGCTGCAGCCATCTTACAGCCATGAGGCAAGACCTGTCATGATTGGCAAGGAAATTAGTAAAGTAGAAATAAAACACCTGGGTTGATGACACTGTAGAGCAGCTGAGTTCACCCTGCCTGAGTTAACCTAACTAACCTTGTTAACCTAACCTATCTATATTTTAATAACAGAATACCTCTCCTTCTGTTTTAAGCTGTTTAATCTGGGCTTGCTACTTGTGCACAGAAGCATACCAACTGTTACCCCCCCCCCTTTTTTTTTAAAGATTCATTTATGTATTTGAAATAGTTACAGAGAAGGAAAGACTGAGAGATCTTCCATCTGCTAGTTCACTCCCCAGATGGCTGCAATAACTAGGGCAGGGCCAGGCAGAAGCCAGAAGCTTCTTCTTGTTCTCCTACATGGGTGGCAGGGGCCCAGGCACTTGGGCCATCTTCAGTTGCTTTTCCCAGGCCATTAGCAGAGAACTGGATCAGAAGTGGAGCTGCCAGGACTCAAACTGGCATGTATGCAGGATGCCAGTGTTCAGGACAGCAGAATCATCCTCCATGCCACAACACTGGCCCCGTTACTATTTCTAAGGCTACAAAGCAGAAACATTGCCGTATTTTAACATGTTCTGAAACGGCTATCTAAGTTGTCAGGGTTGGGGCTTTGCTGCAGTATTTGGGACACCCACTTCCCATAATAGTGTGGGAGGCCTGGCTCCATGTCCAATTCCAGCTTCCTGCCAATGTGTAATCTGGGAAGCAGCAGGCAATGGCTGAAGTACTTGGGCTTCTGCCACCCATTTGGGAGACCTGGATGGAGTTGTTGGCTCCCAGGTTCAGCCTGTCCCAGCCCCAGCTGTGAGAGGCACTTGGGACACAAAACCAATAGATAGGAGATCTCTGGTTCATTCTCTGACTCTCTGACTCTCTAAATAAAATTGAAAATAAGTAAAAACAAGTAACCAGTGCTAGGATACATTTAAAAAGTTATCTGTGATCTGAAGAGGGAAACATTTTATCCTATGGAGCCAAACTGCAGGAGTGAAACAGATAAACTATAAATCCCTGAGTGCCAAACTATAGCCCACAGGCCAACTCCCACTTGAAACTGTTTTTTGTACATCCTGCAAGACAAGAATAGTTTCCACTGAATAGTTTTTAAAAACCCGAAAAATACCTCGTGACCCATGAAAATTATAGCAATTCAAATGTCAGTATCTAGACATAAAGTTCTTCTACAACACAGCCATGCACCCTTTGCCATGGCTGATTTCATGATACAAGGTCAAGGTTGAGTAGTGGCAGCAGAGACTGACCTTCAAGACCTAAAACTCTGCTCCTTCACAGAGAAACGCCACTGGCTTTTGCTGTAGACCTGTGGACTTAAACCCTGATTGCATAGGAGAATCACTTGTGGGGAGCTTTTGGAACCACAGACACGGGTTCTCACTCAGACCGATACGCTAGAAAAGAGCAGGCGCTTCTGATACAAAGTTAGCTGAGTGCGTTACTCCAGGTAGTGTGAGTGGATCACAAAGCACAGGTGAGCGTCAGTGGGGACACATGGGGGGCTTAGAGAAAGCTGGGTCTGTGCACACAGCTCCGTGCCATCACTTGGAATCTAAACACACCAGACACTTTCACCCTGAGGCCATCAGCCTGCTGTGCAGCTGCGGCCAGTTCCATTCCCAAAGTGGCATTTACAGGGACAACAAACAGTGTAACAAGAGCACTCTTGTTTAAATGCTGACACAACCGGCAAACACAGGACTGGTTGTTAGCACTCCCAGAGAGACCGAGTGGACTTGAAAAAAACACACAGGTACTCGTGGAAGAACTAAATTGTTCACAGCAAAGAAGTATTTTGGGAAGAAATCATTCTAGCCAGCACAGATGAAGGATGGGAAGGGATATAGAGCGAGTGAGTAGAAGGTGGACCGTTTCACCACACGCTGCATTGATCAGACGCTCAGACTACTTTGGTAAAAAGGAAAGAGTGTGCTTTCAGCTCCAGCGTCCGAAGAGCTTGGGAGTCATTGTTAGAGCAGTGGAAAGCAGAAAAGTCAACAATTCCCCCAGGTCCGGTAGAGAAGTAGTGTCACAAAATAAACCAGTGCACCTGGGCTGGAGAGGCAGACAGCGGGACCCAGAGGATCCCGGCTTACCTGGGTGGAGACCTCCAGGAAGCAGTGTTGGGCAGGAAAGCCTGAGTGTGATCCAAGCAGTCCTGGGGGCTCGGCATGGGCAACTCTGAAAACCAGGACGTCCAGGGGGACTGTTCCCGGCGGCCCCCACACTCCCTGAGTTCCACCTCCAGGAGGTTCTCACGGTGACGTGCAGAGCAGTCCCCCTGTACTGCTGGCATCAGCCGGGGACAATGACCGTGCGAACAGAGCATTCTACACTCCTTAACAAGGGCCTCCCTCAGCAGAAACTCTCTCAGCACAGCCTACCCCGCGGGGCTTTCCCAGCACCTCGCTGACCTGGGGCGGGACATTTCCAACCTCAGCTCCCTCTGGCCTGCCACCTGGGGAAGGGGAAGCCTTCCCCCAGCCCCTTTAACCATCCTGTCCCACCTGAGTGGGGAGAGTAAAACTGAGAGCACATGTGAAGTGCTGGTAGCCCAGACACAAGACTGAGACCTAAGCACAGAGCTCCAGAATACCCCCGCCCACCCACGCCCCGCCACCACACCACTAAAGGCCTGTTTATTCCAGTGCCCTTTACCCAGGACGCCAAGTCTACCTTTAACAAAAGTTACTAAACGGCAGAATCACAGTTTCAACAGACAGAGCATCACAAAGAGCCTGGGAGATGGCAGTGATGGTGGAATTATCAGGCCAAGGCATCAAATGACAATGATTAATATGCTAAGGGCTATAATGGATAAAGTAGATAGCATACACACACAGATGACTACTAGAAGCAGAAAGATGAAAATTCTAAGACAAAATAAGAAACACAGATCAAAACCACTAATATCAAAAATGCTAAGATAAATGAGAATACCTCATTAGCAGACTAGATACAGCTGAAGGAGGAATCCGTCTGCAGATCAGTAGAAAATTGAACAGAGAAAGCACATAAAGAAACTCTTATAATCGCTCACACATAACATAAATATAAAAAAAAAAAAAAACCCCAGAATATTCAAGAACAGTGGAAGGACAAGAAATGGTATAACACACACACAATGGGAATAATGGAAAAGGATGGAAAGAAAGATTTGGAGCAACAATGACTGTAAATTTACCCAAATTAATGTCAAACTCCAAACCTCATACCCAGGAAGCTCAGAGAATCTCAAACCAACACATAACATACTCAAACTACAGAAAATCAAAGAAAACAATCTAGAAACATGTCAGAGGAAAAAAATGCCTTACTAATAGAGAAACAAAGAATTAAATCTAACTTCTCAGTAAACCTAATTCAGGCAAGCAAGTGGAGTGAAATATGTAAAGTAGTAAGAGAAAAAACACCAACCTGGAATTCTATATCCTGAAAGATATTATTTAAAACTGAGAGAGAGGAGGGCAGGCATTTGGCACAGTGATTAAAATGCTGCTTGGATACCCACATCCCATAGCTGAGTGCCTGGGTTTCCGGCCACTTCTGATTCCACCTTCTCCCCCCACATGATTATTCTTGTGTGTTGAGATCTGCTTATTCTCAACAGGTGCTTTTTTCTTAGCATGACTAGAACAAGCATAAATACCTATCATGAATAGACGTGTTGCCTTACAGAGATCATTGTCTAGAAATACAGATAAATAGGCAAGTCTTTAACTTGTCCTAATTAAGAATTAATGTAATACTACTGTGACAACAGTGAAAGCCCCATAGCTGAGAGTTAAGTTTTGAGGAAATTGTCCTGGGCAGGCTTTGGCTGCCAGTTGATTCACCCACATCCCATACGAGCATCTACTAGATTTCAGTCCTGGTTCCACTTCAGATCCCAGATTCCTGCTAAGGTATACCCTGGGTGGCAGCAGGTGATGGCTCAAGTACTTGGGTCCCT